AGGGTTAGGTTTAGGGTTAGGTTAAGGGTTAGGGTTAGGTTTAGGGTTAGGTTAAAGGTTAGGGTTACGTTTAGGGTTAGATTAAGGGTTAGGATTAGGTTTAGGATTAGGTTTAGAGTTAGGTTAAGGGTTAGGATTAGGTTTAGGGTTAGGTTAAGGGTTAGGTTTAGGTTTAGGTTAGGGTTAGGGTTAGGGTTAGGGTTAGGGGTTAATTTTAGGTTTAGCGTTTACAGCGTGCTTCTGTCTCCGCGCTATTGTCGCGCTGTGATGAGGTCAGCTACGCGGTTTCGTCAAGCGCCCTTTAGTCGAACGCGGTTTTGTGGTGGAACCGATGCATCTCTGTGCCCTTTTTATTAGAAACAAAACCCCTATAGTATTTGACTGATCATGGTAACAGCAAGATTTAGAAATAGTCAATTAACATAAATCAAAAGTGGACCTTACCATCAGTACATCTCATTCCAGAAACAGGATAGAGTAAACCCTGTAGAAACTATAAGACATTTGGGTAATAGTTCCATATATTTTACAGTACCATATTTTTTTTAAAAAAATGGATGTGGGCAAAAAGAATCAGCAATGGTGGATTTAATCCTTCCTCCTCTACCAAATTTCCCTTGCAGGATGTCCAAGTTAAATAGCAAAATCAGAAGTTAGTAAGAGGACTTTTCAGCAAAAATGTATGCATACAGGATAAAGTAGTCTCTTCCACTATAATTGATTCACCCCCAGTAAATCCTCCCACCTCTACCTTTTACACAAAATAAAAAAGGGAACGGTTTTGGTGCAAATAATGTGTAGTTTTAGCTTCAATAAAACTAAGCAACCGTGACCCGACAAAAGCGCGCCGACAAAACCACGTTGCTAAAACCGTGACGTCATCACCACGGCGACAACAGCACGGCGACAGAAGGGCGCTTTACAACAGCACGGCGACAGAAAGCCGATTTAAGTTAAGGTAAGGGTTAGGGTTAGGGTTAGGGTTAGGGTTAATTTTTCGAGTTTCACCTGTTATGTGAGCAACCTTTTAAGATGTTATTTCATGTAGAATTTATTTATTTATTTGTTTGTTTGTTTGTTTGTCTTGTATGCCGCCCACTCCCGGAGGAGAATGCCAATCAAAGAATGGAAAGCAAAAAAGTTTATTTTGTGTGCTGCAATGTTTAANGATAGATAGATAGATAGATAGATAGATAGATAGATAGATAGATAGATAGTATCACAGCAGTTATTCACTTAGCAAGGAGTGTTATAAAATGGGGAAAAACTCCCTTAACAAGTTTTTACATCCACATTATATTTTCCATCCGCACAAAATCCTGGGCTCCCTTGTAGTTCGTCATTCGAGGACCACCTGTTTATCCACACACCCCTTTTCAGAATCCTGTTCCTTTCCCAAAGGGGCGAAGCGTGGGGGGGCGGGGGTGGGGGAGAGAAGCCAAAAGAATTGCCTACTGTGAGAAAGTCCTGCTCAAATTTATACGCTCCGCCTCCAGTGGCACACAACGTGGTGTGGAGGCTGGAGAAATGTTTCTCGCTGCCCATCTGAATAAAAGCGGGCATGTCGTGAGTGGGGAAGCGAATAAAGTGCAGATTGCCTTTACGTCCACACAGCGTAAGGTCCCTGAGCTCCAGGTGGACGTCGCGGAGGCCGGTGGCGCCGTAGGCCGTGTTGGAGGTCAGGTACTTGCGGATGCTTTTCAAGCTCTCCACTTCCTCTTCCTCCTCCTCCGTGGTGATGTCCTTGGGCTCGAAATAAACCAGCTTCACCAACGTCCCGCCGATGTCCAAGCCGAACCAAGGGAAAGCTGAAGGAGGGAGGGGGAAAAATGGATTTAAAATGTGACGTTGGAGGGGAGGGGGTGTGTCTCCCCCCCCCAATTTCTGTTGCTAAGCCAGGCGGCGGTTAAGGGAGTTTTGCTCCACTGTACGACCTTTCTGGCCCACGGTCGCAGAGGTTAGGTTAAGGAAACCGTTGTTAAGTGAATCTTGGCTCCTCCGTGGACTTTGTGCTTCAGGAGGTCGTAAAAGGCATCCCGTGACCCCGGGATGATGCAACCGTCATAAATAGGAGTCAGTTGCTAAGGGTCTGAATTTGACTATGGACATGTCGCAATGGTTTTAAGTCTGAAAAAACGGTCATAAGTCACTTTTTTCAGTACCATTGTATGTTTGAACGGTCTCTAAACAAATGGTTCTAAGTGGCAGATTCTATCTATCTATCTATCTATCTATCTATCTATCTATCTATCTATCTATCTATCTATCTATCTATCTAT